TTATTTCTCTTTATTTATACGTAATTTGTTACATGGATAATATATTTACGATTTCAGTCAAGCCTAATACCGAAGCAGACGCTTTGACCTTAAAATCTATTCTTATACCTAATGTATTTTGTTCAAAATGACTTGAAGGTACAAGTAACAAATTAGATCGTATAAAACTTGTCTATTCTTTGAACCTTTTTATTTTTTACTTGTTTTGCTAAGTTAATTTTACCTAACTATAAGATATCTTCTTGAAAAGAAAATTATTTATAAGTAAAGTACTGTTTGTGTAAAAATTTAGGTAAATTGGCCATAAACCATTAACTTATTATAGTAAATTTTGTTATAGATTTTCTTTTTAATGTTATAACTATATTTCTATACCAAAAGACGGCTAACAATGTGATTATTAAAAAAGACAATTGCATCGTATTTATATTATAAAAGCAAATATTTTGTGACATGAAAATGATCTTTTAAAGTGGTTCAAAGTTGATTTGTACATGTCTAGTGAAAGTAAAATAAAACAATGAATTAGTCACGCATTAATAGAGAGAACTGAAAACATAAAAAAAAACATAAACGACTTTTGAATCAAATCCATTTGAACACAGTTTGTCTTTGCTGTAAGTAATGTTAGCGTCCGTAGTATTCTGGCTCCGAGTTAAATTGTTCACCGCTATTATTTACGACAAATCCACCACACTCTGCTACAGACAGACAGATATAAAATGTCTTGAATCAACAATTGTTTGGAATTGTGTAACAATTGCATCTTTTCTTGGAACAATAAGAAAGTATGCTGAGATGAAAATTAAATACGAAATGGCATCCGCTATACAACTGTCATAAAGTGAAAAGATTTTTTTTTGTATAATTGTAATAATTGGATACATACTGTTTTAAAATCTAGCCGAAACCGGAACCTTTTAAGACCCTTCGTACAAGCAAAAAGTCTTTGAAACCTAGCGATTGTAGTCGCTAAGCGACTTCGCGATGCGGTGTCACCTTAATTGTTTTTGTAAGTGAAAATAATTTATGGTTGAATATCTACACAAAATGTAGAAATTATTTTTGAATAGTAAAAGCACGCGCCAGTTAAATATATTTAATAGTTATTTTAAATAAAATTTGCTAAAAGCGATTGTATAAAGCTTGAGGATCGTTATAACAATTTGCTATCAAGTCACGTACGTCGCTTACGAGGCAGGGCTGCAGCGGGCCGGGAAAAAAATAGCAAAGCGGGCCGCGAGGCGCGAGACTTAAACACCCCCTATCCATTCGCGACCCCCAACTGAATACTTAAGTATTCAAGTTCACTGTAATTGTGCTTGTAACTTTTTTCTATTCACGTATTTTAATTAAAGCGTGTTCCAGTTTTAACGTATATGCTTTTAAAAAAAGATTTTCTCAAATAGCATTTTATTTTGATCTTTAATACTATCCCTTATTAAAAAAAGAATAACGAATTTACTCCCTTAAAATACTTATAAATGGACTGGCTATAAGACGTAACATTTTGTGCCTATTTGATTATCATCATTTTGGCGCTGATAGTTGCGGTTTGGAGCGGTGGTGTGAACTGAACTAATAATATAAATAGTATATACTGTCACGGTATACCAAGCGCGTTTAAATCGGAACGAAGCAAAAGTTAATCACTTCCATTTTTTTAGATCAGAGAAAATACTGGTTGCATTGTAGTTGGCACATTCCATAGAACGTAATACAAATGCTATAAATATTAAATGCCATAAACACCGGCTTTCAGAGCGGACACGTCTCATTGTTAGCACGTGCGCTCGATCGATTATATTAGCTAAATAGCCAACTAAACTACCATTAATGACTAATAAACATTAGTCAGGAATGATTTCTTATAACAGAATTGTTTCGTAATAAAGTTGTCTTAGAAAGCCTACTAAATCTAGGATTTCCATCTCAATATTTGATATTTCACGTACTGTAAAATTACTATAGTTAACTAAATAAGTAATTTGACTATTACCATTAGAACAGACTACTATATACTAGAAATTAAGCTAGTTAGATATTATTGGGACTCGATTACGTATACAGAAAATAAATGAACACAATTTAAAATTTGCGTGTTTCGAAACAAAGGCGCTATAACATTTTTTATTATATTTGTAACAAAAATCTAACATTAACGTTGTTCGAATGAAGTCGTATATCATAAGGCTTAAAATGGTCGACAGAGGGTTTCTAAAGAAGGGTCTGTACCCACTTTATTAATGATCGGGGAAACCCTACAAATGTAGTTTGTTACATCAATAAATTTAAGACATGCTTAAGCGCGGCGTTGTTCAATGAACCTTTTGCGGTGGTAGTCCAGATTAAAAAATGTTTTTGCAAAATAAAAAAGAACTTTGTTCAGAAGCATTTTCAAAGAATTATGGTAATGAATTATGAAGAGTACTTTTATTTTTCTTTATACTAAACCAATTAGAATTAGATAAAGTATCTTGACGATAGAATTTAAAAGCTCAATATATTTTGTAATTTAACTTATTTCATTTTGTTTATTTTCTTTTTCTTATGTTGTATATTAATTTCATAACTACGATTTGTTATCTGTAAACTATTAAATTATACCAAGGTAGATGTAAAAATAGTTAGTAGTTTTTGAATAGAAAAAATAAAGTGAATTTGGAGGGGGGTGCGGCATTTGGCAGTCGAATGTCGTCCGTCGAACGGACTGTGCGCATCTATATTGAACACTCGCGTTTAATTATGCTGCATCGCCGCCATCGTCTTTATGATACGAGGGTAACAAAGTGTCATACGTTTCTTACATAAGTAAGTTTTTTTTACGGAAAATATAATACCTAAAAACAAAAGTAAAACCAAACTACTAATCAGAACATTTCTTCTGTATTTGCTTAATGTATCACAATATCCCTGTGTTACCTCGCGTCAGTTATTCCATGTTGTGAAGTAAAATTAAGGCGCAACGTCGGCTTCCTTAGACGAAGGGTCTACAAATTACCTCTGCCCTTGTTCACGCAATGTAAGCCACGCAAACTAACCAATTTTAAGACCTAGTCTTGTATGTTATATAAAACAAATTAAATATAGGATTTGCCTATTTCAATTAACTTCTAAAATTACTTAATTTTTTTTGCTGCTGTTGAAAACTAAATACTATCGAAGTTTACATTCTTAAGCTGACATAGATGCATATCTTAAGTGCTAACTCTATTTTGAAGTACCAGGATACCAACAATTTAATGTATTATTTGTGTACAGGTGTATCCCTGGTGTATATTTTGGTGGTGCTGCCGGGGCTGCTGCCATGGGGCGGCGGGGGCGGGGCGGCGTGGTTCCTCTCACTGTGCCACCTGCTGGGCGCACTGGCGCCCTGGTGCGGCTCCTTCCTTTACCATCTCTTCATGAACCACACTAGCGGTGCAGGCCTTTACCACCGCCTGCTGCAGCTGGACATGCTCGGGATATGGGTCAGCCAGAGTATTGGTGAGTGTTTGCTAACAAAAATTTAAGAACATAAGTAAAATAGTACCTTAGATATAAGAAACATTAAGAAAAGTAACGCTTGAAGAGTTTACTGAAACATCTGCGTCGGTTATTATGTTTAATGTACACTATAATAATATGTAATGCGCAGAAACATTACTTAAAAAGGTAAAATTAGGTCAGTAACTACAAAACCTTATGGTTTTACTTAACTAGGAAAGCTCCTACTTAGTCCAGCGATCTATTTTTCAATTCCACACCATTGCAATTCTTTCACCGCAGGCGTTACCTAATACCTACGTTCCAATTCGAGCGACAAAAGTTTGCAGTAGAACAAGGTAACATCAAAAATGCAAGTGTGCGCACATCGTATCACTTGACCTCTCACTTTGACTCTCCAGTGTCGTACGTTGTAAGCTTAGCTTACTTTTACTGAAGCACCGGTTTCATAAAGTAAAATCTCCAACAATTTACCGACATGGGTTTATCTTTATGCAGGTAAACTTGACACATTTCCGAGAGTTTTCAATGAAAAATTGCATAAGCAATTTTCACATTTTCAAATTTCATTAAAACAAGTTTTATACCTCCGTTTTTTATATTAAATGTCGTTAATGGTAAGTTAATTTATTGAAATTAGGAATAATTTGACACAATTTTTGCACTTTTATTTAAAATAGACTCAAACAGATTTAAATATCTGATACTTTAAATCATGATCATCATCACCTCACTATATGTCCCCACCGAGGGGCTCGGAGCCTAAGTTAGGGGTGACTAGGCCATAGTCAACCAAGCTGACCCAGTGAGGGCTGGTTGACTTCACACATATCTTTGAAGTTCTTCTCAGACATGTGCAGGTTGCATCACGATGTTTTCCTTCACCGTAAGAACGTCGGATAAATGTACATATGCAAATCGGAAATCGAAAGACATTGGTACATGGCGGGATTCGAACCCAGGACCTGCTGATTGTAAGTCAAGGGCTTGACTCCAGAGCCACCGACGCTCTATACTTTAAAAAGACAAGTCGCATTTTACGTTGATCTCTTCCACGTGGTATACTTTTAACTTCAGAGCTCAGATAATGTTTTATTATCTACAAAGTAAACAGTCTTCTTCCATTACTTTTCTTTGGAGCAAGTACATTAGCATTAACCTAGTCGCTTTAAACTGAAAGTATCAGCGCGAGAACTGCAAAGACTTTCAAGTTACATCGCAACATGAATAATGCAATTACTTTGATGTCGGCATCAACAAAGACATGGTAACTTTAATTAGTACATTAAAACTTTAATGGCAAACATTGTGTTAAGTTGTTGGCGGTTGTATCACTTTGTCTATAGATCCGTAGATACAACGAATTATTTCGTTCAAAAAGGAACATAAAACGTATTGTGAAGATTTAGTTAAGTAATTTAGATAAATTAGTAAGAAGGAAGATTAGTAATTATAATTTAATAGTAATAAGATAGGAAAAATTAAAAAGTAAGTAATATTTAAATAGGCAATAGCTAACAATTCGTCGTTTATGTTTGTTCAGAAATGAGATGTTAGTAGTTACCTAGTATTTTATTTACTTTACGTTCGCAAAAATGAAAGTACGAAAATCGAGTTTAAATAATCTTTGTTCATTTACAAACAAAGTATATTTAGATGTTATATTTTCAACATACAAATTTCTAAGTAAAGTTACACGTTTACCGTTTAATATAAAATATAAGTAATATAATTTAACATTTTGTTATTCGAAGTGAAGCGATCTCATCTCATAAATTTGAAATGAGGAGCAGATGTCGGATGTTGCGGCAATCCGATTTGGCTTCACTTTAAATAACGCTTTCATTTTTTTGTATCCACTATATATTTAGATAAAAACGGAAATTAATCACTTTTTTATACAATTAATTTGCATAAACTTTAATAATTGTTGAATAGTTTTATTATTTTTTTTTTAAATCTCAAGAAAGAGACCCAAACGACAACCTTTCTTTTGAATTACAAAACAAATTATAATGTAAAGAAAAAGGTTTCATGACTTTCGAAATGAACAAATACTATAACGAGTATACTAATTTCCAATGTATTGTTTCTTATAACAAGTACCTAGATGAGCTTTGCTCGGTATTTTTTTTTTAATTGTGTTTTTTGGAAATTATATTTAAGTACGAATTACTAATAAAATGATGAAATATGAATAATATTTTTCGATCTTACCGATAGAAAAAGTTAAGTTTATGTTTTAGTTGATTATCGATAAAACACGAATAAAATGACATTTTCTAAAAATGATTCCTAGCTAGATCGATTTATCGCCCCCGAAACCCCCCATATATATACAAGAATTGCTCATTTAAAGATATAAGATTTACAGTTACGACCTTAAAAATGTAATTTAAAATATTCAATCTTTTTTGTATAATACAAAATACATAGCAAATAAGTTTGTGCAAACCTTTTTAATAATATAGCAGATACGTAGGCGGAGATTTTAGAATTTCTCCCTGAACCCTTTTCCATATGAAATTAGTCCACATATTCTGGGAAGGGTCGACGTGATCCCATTTTGTCAGTCAGCAAAGCTGGCCGTTTGAATGTTTGCTAACCGATTTTGATAAGTTAAATTTAGTATTTTGGATGCGAAATTGTATGTCGTTGTTTTAAATTACATATTTAAGAAAATATTAACAATATGTTATCATAATTATAAGTTTTTTTCAGAGGGTTTTTGAAATAATAATATTATTCTTTAGTTTAAATATTTTAACTAAGCTTCAATATTATTAGATGGCACAAACAAGATCTCCCTTACACCCTAAATCCTATTTCAAAGACAAACAAAATGAGATTGATACATTTACGTAGATTAAATAACAAAATATCCACAATAGTAACAAAATACAAATACGTATCTAAATTCTAGAATACATCTAAGTTATGAAAACTCATTTTCGCAAACTATAACATAAAGTTCTGAATAGTGCTTTTGCTCTCAACTTTATCTCTGAATCTGGAAATATGTTTTCACACTTGGATAACAAGATACATGCATATATTTATTTTTATTCTTCACTACAAACCAAGAATAAGACTTGGGAATAAAATCTATTAAACACATCCATAAATGTACTTTTGGACAATATTAGTTGGAACAATTTGGAGCGAATTGTGCGCTTTCGTTACCAAGTCAAGTTTCAGCGGGGTTAGATAAATGCATTCGCTTCGAGGCGATTCCATGGCGAACTTCAAAAATGTATACAACTTTCGTTAAGTCACTTGATTGTCGCGCGTCAATTTCATTCATTTTAAAATTACTAATGGAATCGCATCGAAGCGAATGCACTTTGTCTAACCCCCCTGGTCGATTAGTGAGGGGACATAAGCGTTGATATTTTAATTGGACTAGTGTTGCGCCGATAAACCGGTACAGTGTTGGATTTTCTTCCTAATAGTACTAAGGTTACCAAAATTTAAGATTTAATCAGCTAAGTTCTGAGAAACTCGCTACAACTAAACAACATTTTGCGAATTCGATCTAAACTATGAAGTGCATCATTAAAAGTTTCGTTTTAAAACTCCAATAGTAGTTCGTTACAGTAAATTGAGGCTGTATTTAACAGAGCCGTGTGCCGGAAATAAAGCCGATCGTACGATGCAAGATTACCTTCACGGATAGTGTTATGTAATACTCGGAACTTAAATACATATACAGGATGTTACATTATCCCTGAGTAAAATTATATTTAATATCGTTATCAATTTTTTTTAAATAAAAATCCTCCTGTGTAAAATCGTTACGGCCATCTATTATAAGATACATTTCTTAAACAAAAACAAGGAATTATCAAAGAATATGTACCGAAATAAACATTAAACAAATAACTTAAACTACTTGGAAAGTAAATAACTAAGTCACGTCTACGTTTCATGATTGATGAATAAGGTATTCATATCTGAAAATTTGCAATTTTTTATTTTGGAACTTATGCAAGTGCTCTGTAGGAGGTCAATCAATCGAAGTGGTCATTAAATCGCATGCTAATTGGGGGCAAGTATACTCAGAGTTGCGTTACGTGTCGGGGTTCTGTATACTCGTTAAGTGCGCTTCAGATTTGCTTTTAATGCCCTCGCACGTGGAACATGAAATAAAAACAACTTGTTTATCGCATGTTAAAATTTATGCTCCAATACTAACAATATTCTGATTTAAAGAGAGTACAGGTAATTCGATTTTTTAATTTAACGATAAATTTACTTGTATCACTTTTAAAAAACTTCTTAAGACTCTAAATAATCTATTGCCCTCAGCCTAAAATACACTTTTTTTTTCAGAGGGCAATGCTTTAGGCATACTACGTGCCTCGAGGAAGGCACGGTAGTTATGGGATTCTCTCCCCGAATGCGAGCAAACCCTCTAAACCTCTTTGTTCCCTCATAGCCATGAGGTGGGATGCCACGGGATCGTAACTTGCCACCGCGACGCCCCACTGAGCCTAAAATACCCTAAGTTAAAATACTTAAAAGTAACTTATAACATTAGACAGTAAAACTTCAAATCGATAAACTAAATAAATAAAGTCTTTCGACCTTAACAGCCGAAGCTGTGAAAACGAGTTTTATACTTGTATTAAAAAGTTCACTCGCAATGTGTTCTTTACAAAGTTGCCTTTATTTCGCGGCTTTCTTCGCTCCGGAAACGTTCTTTAACATCTTTTCTAAATAAAATTTTCCATCACACCGGTAACGTTGTTTCCTTTGAAGCGGGAAATGCTACGTAGATTATAAATAATGCGATTGATTTATCTTGTATTCTGTCTTATCTTCGCTTTAGTGGAAATGTATTTTAAATCTAGCTTAATATCAATATCAAGCTGCTTTTACAATGCAAGTATAAAAATAAAGATTATTGTGACTTTATCTGAGAAACTATTATATTTATCTTATATATAAAATTATCGTGTCACAATTTTCGTTCCCATAATCCTCCGAAACGGCTTGAC